TAGTTAGTAGTAGTAGGTAGTAGTAGGTCCGTAGGTAGTAGTAGGGGTAGAAGAAGAAGTAGTAGTCGTCGTAGTAGTCGTAGTAGTCGAAGTAGTCGTAGTCGTAGTAGTAGTCGTACTAGCAGCAGTGGTAGTCGTAGTAGTAGCAACAGTCGTAGTCGCAGCCGCAGTTCAGCAGCCGTAGCAGTAGCAGCAGCTGCAGAAACAGCAGCAGCAGCAGCAGTAGCTGCTGTAGAACAAAGTAGCATAGAAAGCACTTTCCATTTCTCCCCCTCACGTGCCACCTTCTTGTAACGTAACTTCCTCGATGTACATTCTGTAGGGTTGGTTTGAGGTTTGCCCCGTTGGTGTCTACGGCAAACATCCTCTCGACCTCTTGCAATCCGAGCATCCTCCAGGCCATGAACCTCCAGAGCCACCTGCAGGCTGCTCCGAATTGAGATACCAAAGATTGCAAACCATGTGCGATTTGGGGCTTCTAGGGCATTAAGGTTCACGCCTGGTTTCTGTACGACTCGAGCTCGCAGGCTTGAAATCCCTGGGCGCTGTTTTTAGGGGCTTACGGTTCAGGGTTCTTGGGATTTGAGCTCAGAAAGTTTAGGGTTTCGGGGGTGGGATGCGGTGCAAATAATCGGGGTCGAGGCCCTAAGAGAGAAAGCAGGCCTGGAAAGCTTCGAGCTGGTTCTTTGCAGAAAGAGCCTACAACATAGCAACCCTCAGCCCTACGATCCAGAGCATACACTGAACCCTAAAGGCCTTGAACCCTCATAGATGCAGCGAAACCCTAACCTTGAGGCCAGACGCAGGCCGGGTGCCTAGATATCCAAGAAAAAGACTTTTCCGAAGCGTGTTGCATTCAGGGCTGGTGTTTAAGTTCAGGGTTGAGGGTGTCAGATTTTATTGCGGTGCAAGGTCACCTTCCGAGCCCCCCGCCATGATTCTAGACCCCGCAGCAGTAGAGGCAGCAAACTCTTAATGAACAACGAAACAACACAGCCGAATCACCGAATGCCTTGAACTAGACGGTCCAAAAAGAATCGAGCTTGCAAGATGTATTCAAAAACAACGAAGAACCAAACTTTTGTCTGGCGGCCTGGTACCGCCGCAGCATCTCATCCGGCACGAATTTCTTGCGCCTGGGGTTCAGGGCATTCAGCGCTGGCTAGAACGACAGCGACAAGACGTGACAAGACTGACAACAAGGGCGACAACAATAACAGCTTCAGCAACAAGAACGACGACAACAAGAACAACCACAACGCTACTAGTAGTGTCCACATGAACAAAAGCAGCACAAATGACACCAATTCTTGACCCGAGCATCTCGAACAACCTTATGCTGGCAAGACTGTCAGTACCTGTGATGAAGTAACATCATCCTCCTGGTCGTCACTCTAAGCTGACCCCCAAACTCTAGACTCTAAACAGTAGGTCCAACTCCGCCAAGAAGGGCGAGGTTGAAAACGCAGGAGTGCTATGAACATGGGCAATATTTGCCGAAATCGCATTAGGGGTCTGGGGTTTAGAGGCGCAGGGTTGCGTTTTTTTGACAAAGGGTTCGAGAGTATAATATAACATGATGAGATATGATCTAATCTCCAGCCCCAGGTGGAGGGCTCGCCAACCTGCAGCTTCGGAAATGAACATTTTCGAGCTCAGGTTTGTTTTTGAGCACAATAGCAACAATCAGAGTCGTATCATAAAGAACCTCAGCAGTTTTCAGCGGAGATGACCAGCTTAGGGAATTACCAAAATATCCGCTCAGCAAAGCCGCGTATACGAAGTCCTCACCCATAGCCTGTAGACGAACAGCTAAACCCTAAACCCTAAACCCGAAAGTCCGGGTTACTGTATCTGCACTGGACCCAATCACGCCGAAAGCACAAGGCACAAATCCAAATCCCTGGAGGCCACATCAGGCCTCTGCATGTATCGGTCTTACCTTGACTCGGCAAACCCACCAGAAACCAAAACTAAAACGAGTTGACACCACACCAGCTGTAAGGCCAGCTCTGCAATGCTACTTTTGCTTCGCCATAGACAAACACATACGAGATTTAGTATACACTTGCGAAGATTTGCCAGAACTAAAACTGAAACTCTAAAGCTCCAAAACCCCAACCCGAATCCACGCGAGGGTACGCAGTCGTCAGAGCCAGCTTGGCGCCACCGAAGAAGACGTGTGGCTCCCCGCCCTTCCTGTGTCGACGAGTCTGGTCTACTGGTACTACCCATAGGCCCTAAAGTAGTTCTTTTTTGGGGTTCATACATAGAATCCTATAAGGTAACCCCCAAAAGGAACTACTTTAGGGCCTATGGGTAAGTACTGGTACTAATGCCATTTCCAATACTTTTCGCACTACGGCGACGGCTACTACTGCAAGTGCCAGAAAAAGAACGAGAATTGGAACCAGTACGAGTATAAGCACTCCTGCTCCTACCCCTGCCACTTCTGCTACTAGCACTAGCACTAGTACTACACTACCACTACTCACTACTCCACTGTTACTACTACGACTACTACTACTCCTCCTCCTGCTGCTGCTACTACCACTACCACTACTACTACTAGTACTACTACTACTACTACTACTACTACTACTACGACGACTAGTATTACTACTACCACCACTACTACTAGTAGTAGTAGTCGTAGTAGTAGTAGTAGTAGTAGTAGTAGTAGTAGTAGTAGTAGTGGTAGCACTACTACTACTACCACCACCACCACTACTACTATTACTACTACTACTACTACTACTACTACTACTACTACTTCTACTACAACTACGACGACGACAACGACGACGACTACTACTACTACTACTACTACTACTACTACTACTAGCGCTACTAGGATCCTCCAGCTTTGCCACCCCTGAAGCAGAAACCAATTTAGGAAATCTCGGGCAGCAGAAATCTCCGATCCTGAACCGTAAGCCGCAAAAGAATGCCAAAGCTATTCCCCTTCCCCGCTTCTGTTGTGCGGCCTGACAGAACGGCGAAAGCTTCGTCTGGCGAGGTAGAGGGCGAGATTTGCTGCCAGGCCTGGTTCCCCGAACACATTCAACTCTGGAAGTGTGCGGCGCGATGCGGCTTGAGGTTTCAGGGTTCAGAAATAGTTTATGAGGTTGGTGTAGCAGAGTTTAGGGTTAGACTTGCAGGTGTCGATGGGAGCGATGGGACGACGATGAGCCAGCTGCTGCATGATTGCTACTTTCAATAGAAGCTAAAGAGGGCTGCGAATGAGCTTAACGAGGACAGAAAGCACAAACTATCCTAGTAACCTAGGAAGAGTGAGCATTGCTGACCGTGACGACGCAAATACTGGTGATAGAGCGCACGTTGACGCTGAATCATGTGCTAAGGACCGAAATTGTACCCTCTTGTCATCCCGCAGACTCATCATGAAACCACAAAGTTGTCAACCCCAGACCTGGCTTCACCTCTCCCTTGTGTCCTCAGACAGATCTCATAGATCCTTTAGCTTCGGGGTGGATTTGCACACTTTTCCTGGTGCTACAAGGCAGAATACTGGGGGCGCTCCTGGTCCTGGGGGGCTTTGTCCGTAGTGTACAAGCCCCTTAAACACAAGTACAGCTTCGGAAGGCTGAACTCTACACTGCCACGGTTAAGACTGAGCATTGCGCTTGTCTAGTGTTGTCGAACATGCGACTTGAATGCACAGCTCGGACTACATCAGACTTCTCAAACTGGATTGCGGATTGCAGCCATCATTGGTTGTTCTGACGAAGGTACTGAGTACTCAGAAGCACAACGCTTTGCGGGGTGTTCAGCTTAAGATGCCGGGTAGAGTGTTTAGGTCCCCAGGCGGTTCAACGAATTGTGCGGACTGTGGCTTCGTCAATCAAGAAGGCATGTGTGGCTGCATTCTCCCCGAAAATGAGCACTGTCCATCTTTTCAAGACTTGATCCGCAACCCGGCACAAAACGAATCGATGCTTCTCAGAAATGTTGAGCCCGGTTTGTCAGCTGCCAGAACTGGGCTCATCCCGCCTTGATGCCGTGCGTGTCGGACCTCTTTCACCAGGATACCGTTGACACCTAAGGCTTCTTAGAAAGGTTTGGGATGTCGAGGAGGTTCGAAAGGCGTGGCCCTGCCCATACCAAAACAATCGTCAACAGCGAGTCCGAGCGTAGTGCAGTCCACCATGCCATGAAAGCGGTTCCGTCAAAAGACCCTGAGCAAATCATTCCCTGATCCTCATCCCTGGATCTGTTTACCCGCATTCTGGATGGCCCTCCTCCCGAGTTGCTGGAAGATCGTGAGGTGACTCGTCATGACATGCTGGAAACGTAAATATCCAAAGTGTGGAACCTGTCTCTAAGCCCAACACGCATACCCGCAAATCCGCTTCATCCCACAACTCCCTACCTTTGTCTAAATTCTATGTTCCCCCCCCTGCACCCGCTAGTCGTGTCTGCTGCTTCCGTGGTTCTACTACTATTGCTACTAACCGTGTACTACCACCTACTACCGCTACGACCCCACTGCGTACTTCCACTGCCACCCTTTGCTACTACTCCTACTCTGAGTTCTGCTACCTGCAGACGACGACCAGCCAAGTACTGATAGTGTCTATGCTTCGACTTGGGCTTCTTTCACGACGACGATTTCTTTCACTGACAGGTCTCCTATGCTTGTTGAAGTTGTCATTCTTGTAGTTACAGGTACGACAGCTACTGCAAGCAAAAGCGAAGCACCTCGTCTACAAAGCCTGTTGTGAGTGAGGAGGGTACCGAAAGCATCCCGAAACGACAAAGATATGAACACATCAACCGGCTGATCACACTGTTCAACGACGTGACTATCGAAGATATTCAGGGTGCTACTCCTGCTCTTACAGCGAAAATACTCCTATGCCAAACATGCTAAACCCAAAACCCTATGGCCTCCTTGGTTTCTGATTTAAAGCTGTATCTTCGTCTTCGGACGGCAAGGCTTACTCAAGGCTCCTTCTCTGGATTCTGTGTCAGCCATGCAGCCGGCGAGAATCTGCAAAGCCCTGATGCTCCTCTGGCAAACCTGGAGATTTCTGGGATTCTATAGTGGAAGCCATAAAGTTGGAACATGGGATAGGGATGATCAGTGCTGGACTTCCTTGTGCATTCGTATGAAAGTCCTGTATGGAATAATGATGTTACTTTCTGGCTTCCGCGTTAGGATTCGGACATCTGGTACAAGCCTCCGTCATAAGGGATTCATAGCTCTCCGTGCGATGCGTGCAGACCTTTTTTATGTCGCTCTTCAGCATGTATTGCTGTATATCTGATGCATTGCTGTCGTTCAGGTGGTCTCAGCCAAGGCAAAGTTGCTAGAATTATCAGGAGAAGACTTCTTGCAACGAAGCCGAGCAAAATCCGAATTACATCCTTAGGCCCCCAGGAGCAAACTCTCATTTGTAGCCCCTTTTCCACTGTACTGAAAGGGAGGATTTTCTAGGTTCTCTCCCTTCAGGACCTCAGTGCGTGGACGTGACTAAGTTCGACCGAAGTTTAAACCTTGGTTGAGGTCTCAGGGTCGCGAAATCAATATACACCCCTAAACCCTAAACCCCTAAACCCTGACCCAATATAGTATATCGGAGTAGCAACTCGGAGCTCGAGCTTTGGCAGCGCAATCTCGGTTATCAAGAGTATTGAGCTCATGAGTTCTGCTAGCCGTAGGTACAGAACACAAAATACAATCAACGAGCAGTCAAATAGGGACATGCTACACTGCTACACTCTTCAATCCAAGCTCAGGCCTTTTCTAGAGATATGTGGATCGATCCCGGCCTCAGCGCTGGTGAAATTGACCACAACGGCGCAGGGCGACACCAAGTGGATCAAGTCGTACGGCTTGCTCCGCCAGGGATCCCCCAAGTAGTGCCCGAGCGCATCCACAAACTCTTGGTAGGTGACCTCGGAGTATTGTAATTAGGTTCTAGAAGTGTTTTTAAGTTTACCATACTTTAAGGGCTGCTATAAAGCAGCAATGACGATGAGGGCCTTTCTTCGTTATTGAAGGCTTACGGTTACTATGTTTAGCTGGTTGAAAAGCTGAAAACTTCAAGGTGATGCTGTGATGCCCACACCACTCTTAGGCATGCCTACATGCTTACTTCGTACCAGTCAAACTTTGCTTACCTGCTTTGCTGTCCGCACTTCATGCTGCGTTCAGGAGCTTCCAGTATCCCCTGTGAGGTTTTGTCCCGAACAGTGGCCGCTGGCTAAATAGCTCGCGGACACACGATGGAGCAAAACGCATCATAACATACACTGTCACAAGTAAAGGAGAAGGCCTTGTCACATCGTTGCCAACAGTCCAGCCGTTTCTCATAGAGATGCAGAGCGAAGATGTCAAATACTCGAAAGCTCTGTGCGTGCCCAGGGACTTTTCTGTTCATCTTCAGGATGATGGTGGTCGCCTCCTCTAAATCTGCCATTGCTGAGCTAGCGCCCAGGCCGGACTGAGGAGTGAAAGCAACAGAGAAGGGCTGGACTGTGAGTGTCACGTACGTGTCCTGCGCTTTGCTGAGTGGTGAGGGCCTAAAACTGGCAGCGGGGCGCTAAATTCAGACTATTTCCAAACTGATGGGACGTGCAAAAGCTGCAGCCACAAGATCAAAAGGCGAGCGTTTGCGAGAGCTACTTGGCCGGCCTTCCAGCAGCGACTAAATCCTGGCAAGCGGACATACAACCAACCCTTTCCAGCTAACCGACATGCTGCTCATGCTGGACTCCCGCGTCGGCGAGGTTCCGGTGCATCGCAAGGACAGAAACAAACGTAAACACAAGTCAGCCAAGAAGCCTGCACTACATATTGTAAGAATGCTCAGACACGCATTGAGATGTCGGCTGATTGTCAAAAACAGCATTCCGCACGATTTAGAGGTGCGCCGTACCTTTAAGCTTTTATTCGGGAGCGATAGATGAAGAATCCAACCAACAGTGTCTTTGTCAAGTGTTTCGCTGCCGGCATGGATAGAAAATTGCGATGGTAATCCGACCATGAGGAGTTCATGCATGTACTGTAACATAGCTGTTCCTCGTTCCTTGTCCTTCCTTGCAATCTCGGAGTTATCCAACCGTCGTGTTCCTCACTCCATTACAAAACACAAACGGTCAAGGACCTAAATTACATAAGGAGCCCGGCAGCACGATGCAGTCAAGTTTCCAACGCTCCGCAGGAGGAGCAGCTTAGGACTGAATGGGCTGCAGAGTTTGGGATATCATATCTCGAGTTTTAGCAAAACACGAAAACCAACTTTGACAAACTACGAAGTGTGGAGTAGCTAGTGTAAAACAGTGCAGCAACGCTTGTGCAACGCGACATCCCCCAGGAAATCCGAACCCTTGTCCATGAGAAATAGCGGAAGGGGAACCAAAGGCCAGCTGCTGAAGCTCTGTCCAGCGGTTCATCTGTGGCTGCTTCGGCCCGTCGGTGCCATTGCTCCGCGCCAGCCACCTGGCTGCTTTACAGACACATCATGCCTTAACAAATCTTCCTGGTTGCAGGATTGCATAAGCCCTGAGAGTCCTGCATGGGCGATGCGTTCATACTATGTGACTCCACATAATAAAACTACGACTGTAGTTGCTGTAGCTGCAGCTGTTGTTGTTGGCGGTGTTCGTGCTCGTGTACGTGGTGGTGGTAATGGTAGTGGAAGTGGTGTGGTAGTAGTAGTAGTAGTAG